TATTAAGTTTGCAGATGATACCAAGCTGGGAGGGGTTGCAACTAATCTGGAGGATAGGGTCATAATTCAAAATGACCTGGACAAATTGGAGAAATGGTCTGAGATAAATAGGATGAAGTTTATTAAAGACAAATGCAAAGTGGTCCACTTGGGAAGGAACAATCAGTTTCACACATACAAGATGGGAAGTGACTGTCTAGGAAGGAGTACGGCAGAAAGGGATCTAGGGGTTATAGTGGACCACAAGTTGAATATGAGTCAGCAGTGTGATGCTGTTGCAAAGAAAGCAAACATGAATCTAGGATGTATTAACAGGTGTGTTGTGAGCAAAGAAAGATGTGGAAAAATTGGAGAGGGTCCAGAGAAGAGCCACAAGAATGATTAAAGGTCTAGAGAACATGAGCTATGAGGGAAGGCTGAAGGAATTGGGTTTGTTTAGTTTAGAAAAGAGAAGACTGAGGGGGGGACATGATAGCAGTTTTCAGATATCTAAAAGGGTGTCATAAGGAGGAGGGAGAAAACTTGTTCATCTTGGCCTCTGAGGATAGAACAAGAAGCAATGGGCTTAAACTGCAGCAAGGGAGGTTTAGGTTGGACATTAGGAAAAAGTTCCTAACTGTCAGGGTGGTCAAACACTGGAATAAATTGCCCCTCTGGGGATAGAACAAGAAGCAATGGGCTTAAACTGCAGCAAGGGAGGTTTAGGTTGGACATTAGGAAAAAGTTCCTAACTGTCAGGGTGGTCAAACACTGGAATAAATTGCCCAGGGAGGTTGTGGAATCTCCATCTCTGGAGATATTCAAGAGTAGGTTAGATAAATGTCTATCAGGGATGGTCTAGACAGTATTTGGCCCTGCCATGAGGGCAGGGGACTGGACTCGATGACCTCTCGAGGTCCCTTCCAGTCCTAGTATTCTATGATTCTATGATCTCCTCTCTCAGTTCCCTTCAGCTTTGACCCCAACTCCGCCGCAGGCTGGCTCTCGGTCTCCAGCAACCTCACCAGCGTGACCAACGGCAGCTACAAGTTGCTGGTGGACAACCCAGAGCGCTTCTCCTCCGCCCCCTGCATCCTGGGCTCCCAGGGCTTCTCCAAGGGCTCCCATGTGTGGGAGGTGGACCTCGGAGGACTCACGAACTGGCGCGTGGGCGTGGCCAAGGAGCGCAGCGGCCGCCGCTGGAACTTCCACCACGACGCCCGCTCGGGCTTCTGGTACATCTACCGCCTGCAGGGGGCAGACAACGAGATGTGCCGGGCCTCCAACTCGGCCAGGTCAGAGACCGTGCTCCGGGACCTGAAGCGGATCCGGGTGGAACTGGACTGTGACGAGGGCGAGCTCTCCTTCTACGACGCCGACCACAAGAGCCACATCTACACCTTCCACGAGCACTTCAGTGGTGAGGTCTTCCCCTATTTCTATGTGGGCAACCTAATGCCTGATACACCTCCTGGCTCCCTCCGGATCTGCCCTTTACGCATCCGGATCAAGGAAGACCTCCCACTTTAGGCTGCTCCGTACAACCAGTAGAAAGGCTCCCCCTTCTGGCCTGCCACGTTCCCATCCTCCATTGCCCCGGCCTGCCTCTTCCAAGTGCCTTTCTACAATGCCTTCCACGGCTGTGTCCTCCTCCAACGGACCAACCCCCGCCAGCCCTTGACTTCCAGCTTGGGCTTTCTCAGCAGAAACTGTTACCGCTCAGTTATTTTCTACTGTTTGCCTTCATAACCAATTTTTTTTTTTTAATAAACTTCTGTGGTGGCCGGATGATTTGGGTCACAAATTTCAAGTGTCTCCTTTCAAATCTTTGTCTGGAACGGTTCAGTGAGCAGCCAAACCCCATCCCCCTCCCTTTAAAAAAAAATCACCGAGTTGGGAAAGCATTTCCTCTTATGGGCTGAGCCTGTGGAACTCATTGTCACATGATACTGAGCCCCAGAGCTTCCCAGGTTTCAAAAAATGGGTGTGGGCCTGTTGCCTGTGTCCCAGGACATCAGCCTGCTCCCCGAGGCCAAGTGACGGGTATCCTCTGCCCCGAGGGAGTTTATTCCTGTGTGAAATTTCTTGCTCCTTCCTCCTTGAGCAGCTGATGTTGACCGCTGTTGAGACAAGATCCCGGACGAGCTGGACCTCTGGTCCAATACAGGGCAGTGTATAGATCCTCTTCTTTGCTCTAGCCTGGTCTGGCATAAAAACAACCCCTACCTCTCGTGCTAATAGCTTAATGATTTTTTGAAAGGCAGAAAGCCTGTAGCTGTTTTTCCTTGTGATAATGGCAGAGGGGAGTGAAAGCCTCAAGGGGTTGGTCATAATCACCTCTTAGTCCAAGGTCATTGCTTCACATCCAGGCTAAGTCACTCCCTGTGTTCTGGCCATGCAGCTTAGGGGATCCTGAAGGTTTCCTGCGGCCCTGGGCTGGAGTACATGAAGGGACACGACCCTGAACTGTGGCCTTTCCTTGCTCTTCTGCCCCGCACTCCTGCTCAGTTCAGGGCCTTCCCTATGGCCCTGCTCCCATCCTGCATCCCCATGCCATTCATGTTTCTGTCCTGCTCTGCCTCTTCCTCCTGGCTCCACCCCCTCCCCTATAGCTCCGCCCCTTCCTTGCTCCTTTCTGAGACCCCTGCTGCAGCCCTGAGACTGGAGAAACTGGGCGCAGGCCACAGTGGGGAGCGAGAGCTCCTCTAGCCTCAAGGCTCTAGGGGGGAAGGAGGGAGATTTTTCTGGGGGTCCCAAATTGGCAGGGGTGCCTGGGGGTAGGCCCCATTGGCTTGTCATCTGCCACTGGTCCAGACGGGCAGCTGGAGAGGCTAGTAGCTCAGAACTGTCTAATGCAGGGTGAAACTAATCCCCCACAGAGTGGCACCAACAGGGGTGATAAACCTTGTATCCTTTTATCTTTAACTTCTCAGGAAGCCACCCTCCCGGCTGCCTCTAGCCAGGCTTACAATAGCGCTTTTCACCAGGGCATCTCAAAGCCCTTCAGAAAGGAAGGCAGGCCCTCCTTGGGAAACCAAGGCACGGGGCTGGCCTTGACTAGCCTGGGTCCCCTAGCAGCAGTGCTGGGCATAGGACACAGGTCGCCAGAGGTTAGCCACTAGTCTGTGCTCCCCAGTGTAGTTTTCCCTGCCAGTGGGTGAGAGAGGAAGTAAAACAGCCCCTAACCCACCTGGCTTTGGCAAGTTCGAAATTCAGCTCCCCCTTAATGACCAAGCTGCAGCGAGGATCTCCCCAACCCGCAGCGTCTTGTGTCCTGCACAACTCCAGTGTTTCATCTGAGTGTGTTAGGTCCTTGCACGGTCGTGCACATAGTGGAGAACGCAGGCTGTGCAAAACACAGCCTCGGAAGCTTCTGTGTGCTGTACCGCAGGGGTGTCTAAGAGGGACCTTAGGTTGGGAAGAGTGGCTTTTCACCCCTCCCTTGTCAGGTTTCCTTATAAGCTGTGTCCTTGTGTGGCTGCCAGTGCTTTTTTTGTGATGGTACTGCCCAGTACACCGTACCGGCACCTCTAGTCAGAGCTTACCTGGAAAGAACAGAGAGTACCGGCACCTCTGTAATGAAAATGACCGACCATCGGCTGGGTCTTAAAAAGTACCGGCCCTTTTTTTTTTTTTTTTAAACAAAAAAAGCACTGGTGGCTGCCCAGAAGAGCGTTAGATGCCGCCCAGCTAATTAGTGGAGCGCCCACAGCTAGGTTTTGTGTTTCCACGGGTGGTGCACATTTGCACGTACCTCAGTGTACATAAAAGTGATTCCGCACAGGGATGGAAAAGGTTAGAGGGAAAACTTGTTCCTTGTCAACCCTCCAAGTTCTGAAGGACTGTTAACTTCTGGAGCACCAGAGTCTGAGTTTGACCTCACGCAGGCTTTCGGGTGGTCTAACTCTGTTGCTCTCTGTAGAGTTATTCCTGGCTTTCCGCCAGGCACCTGAGATCAGAATCAGACCCTTTCTATAATTAGGAGACATGAAGTGTATTAAATCACAATGTGCCCAAGATTCGAAGATAGCCATGGCAGATTTGGGGGGAGAAAAGTAAGACACGATTTTAAGAATTTTTTTCTGTTATTTTTTTTCCACCCTTCAATGAACTCCAGGTTCCCCTCCCCCCCAACAACAAACACATTTTTCTCCAGGCAGTGGGGTTGCTCCTGTGCAAAATTCATTGAGCTGAACCCTGCATGAGAAACCCACCCACCCTTCTTTCTATTTTAAGCTATTTACATCTAGCTCTGCCCTTTCCTGCCTGTCCCTTAATTCCCAGGGAGAGTCAGGAGAATGGAGGTGGATTTGAATTGAAATTGACACGGATTCAAATCGCATTAGGTCGCCGGGTAAGAGATGCTGCATGGTGCATCATGTATGGATTACCTGTTACCTAACTTTAGTCACATCTGGAATTACTGCGTGGACGAATGTAACCTGAAGAGCGCTCTGTTGTTATAATGTGGTAGCACTTCGAGGCCAACCAAGTCCGGGCCTCGCTGTGCCAGGTGCTGTACAAATGTACCGAATACTTAATAGATTTCAAGGTCAAAAGAGACAGTTGTGAGCATGTAGCTTTGCCTGGTGCAAGAACACAGAGCTGTGAACTTACTCCTCTGGGTCCCCCGAGCCAGTGGCTTCCATACCCTGCGGCTGTGTCTACACTGGCCACTTATTCCGGAAAATCAGCCGCTTTTCTGGAATAACTTGCCAACTGTTTGCCCTGGCCCCTTGAATTTCCGGAAAAGTACTGACGATCACAAAAAGTGCTTTTCCGGAAAAGCATCCTGCCAATGTAGACGTGCTTTTTCCGAAAATGCTTATAACAGAAAAGTTTTCCATTTTAAGCATTTCCGGAAAAGGGTGCCAGTGTAGACGTAGCCTGCCTGTGACTGTGTCTGCCTCAGAGAGTTGACAGAGCAAAAGACTAGGCTGAAGAGGTGGAGTAAACATTTAAAGGTAAGAATTGCTACTCCCTTTCCTGTAGCTTGGGATGTTAAGAGTCTCCCTTAAATCTCATGTGAGTCTCTGAAGGCTTTGAGCGCTCAGATTTTTCCATGCACACTTCTCCTCAAGGCCTGGGCTGCACCAATGTAACTCTTTCGTAACTCTTTCCATTAGGGGTGTGATTTAGTTGTCTATATAGTTATAATGGCGGTTGTGACGGGCTCCCCAGGGTACAGCCTGGAAACAGGGCACCATGGTGCTCCCTTAACGCTCCACCCCGGGCTCTCTGTGCTTTGCTAGTGACAAGCAGCCAGCCCTTCCAGGCCCTGTTATCACTCAGCACAACAGCATGAGATGCCCCACATCCTGCTAACGGGCGTGAATGCTCCCATGTTCATTCATGAATCGCACAGAGAAAGGCACCAGCAAGTCTTCTCCCTCCTTCCCCCCATCTTGTACCCTGGAGCTGTGCTGCCCTGCCCTGCCCTGGCCAGAAGCCTGACCAGTGTAAGTTTATTACTCAAGGTGGGAAGATGCCAGGACAGTGTCACTTTAAGGGCCCGGGCTCAAGAGTTGGGTAGGATAGGATGGGGCGGGGCTTCCCTGCCTTTGGGCCAATCAAGGGAAGCTTTCAGAAGGAGGGTAGTATATATGTGCTGCCTTCTCTCTCAGGACAGGGTATGTGCAGGTGAAGGAGGAAGCCTGAACCAGGATGGAGAGCTAGGCTTCTGCTGATGGGAATGAGGTTTCCAAGCTCAACAGCAATATTGGGAGAGGGGGGAAAGAAGGAGGGAAAACAGAATTGGGGGTAGGCCAGGTATATAATGGAGGTGTAAGAGAACAGGTTGTCTGGATGACTATGAGGGTCAAATTAGGGCGAATTGCTTAGAATCAGGCCTATTTACGGCCCAAGACGGGAGTTCTCTTCTAGAAGGCACCAAACTAGTCACACAGAGCACTGCTCCTGCTACTCTGGCCAGCAAGAAGTCTCGTCGGCAATCCCCTTAGACAGCCCAGCGTTACCTGCGCCACGACCAGCAGACGGACCGGGCCGTGTCTGGGCACAGCTGAGGGCATCCGCTCAGGGCGAATTGCTCAAATCCGGGGCTCCTTACAGCCCCCAGACTGGTGACCTCTCCACACAGGCCACAAACCAGTCCCACAGAGCGCTTCAGCAGCCTGCCTGAAGCCTCACGAGCAAAACCCCTCCGACACCCCAGCAATATCCGGTCCCCAGATGGCCCCGGGCCTCTTACACGGGTGGGGGGTCCTAGCACCCAATCCCACCTACCCCGAACAAGTTCTGTCCGGTTCCAAGAAACCAGCCACAGATCCCTGGTCAATTTACCCTCTGGACCTTACCCACAAATCACGCTGGGCCAATCCTTTAGAATCTATATCTAAAGGTTTATTATTACAGGAAAGAAAAGCATGAGAGTAAGGTTATTAAAGTACAGTACGTTACATGCACCGAATCTCCCAGTCCTCGATGCAGGCTCTAGCAGAGATGTTACAGCTGCTGGTTTAAAAGTTCTTGTTGCACATCCTAGGATCAGGATGGGTTCACAGGTCTTCCGGGCTCTTCGATCCCTGCAATGCTGCCTCTGGGATGAAGTGCTGAGCTGAGAACAAAATGGCATCAACCACATGGCCTCTTTATACCTCCTTCCTGGCCTCTTCTTGTATGCAGCAGGTCACCTGGTCAGAGGCCAATCTCTGTGTTTCCTGCTGGCTGCTCTCAGGTGACAGCCCCTATTCTTTGGGAGCGTCCATAGCCCATTGAGAGCCATTGTTCCACAGGGCCTCGGTAATTAGCAGGTCCACAGGCTCGGCCCTGCCCAATGCTTAACCACATGCAGG